TTTTTTTCTTGGCTCAGGGAAATAGTTACCATTTATAATTAGAGATGACAAACTAGACTCTATGGACCTCATGATTCATCTATAGTTGCAGCTCCTATGTGCAAATAATAGTTGAGATGCTTCTAAAATTGCCAGCTGAATTAATTTTCCCCAAGCCAAAACCATCCTAAGGGAATCCATCTGGCATATCTCTAAACACACCTCTGTACCTCAAGCAGCACCAGGGGTGTATCGTGTTCCTTACTGCCTTGTAATGGCAATGATGTAATTACTGGCAATTTCACTCTACATGTGATGGATGGGAATCAATTGAAGTGCTATATTAGAGACAACAGAACGTTCACTTGGAATAATTTTTTGATTTAGTAAATAGTAAAACTAATAAAAGAAATGTCTTCTATTAGCTTTCACAATAGTTTAAAACTTATTGATCCCTACCAGACAAGTATTTAGTTATCTGGAGGAGAAAGCTTGAGCAATGGGCTGGAAAAGCAAGGTCTTTTAAATTATGCCTATTTCTAAGATTTAGTTTCGGTCTCCTCTTTCCTTCCTCCCTGTCAAGTAATAAAAGTTCTTGACTTGTTTCAAAATGGCTCAGATTAAATTTCATTTTGTTAAGCACCTCAATTTTTCAGCTAGGAAAAGAAAGACCATTAAGAAGTTGCATTATCCATTACAACCCCCTTCATGATCTGAAATTTATATGGGAAATGCTAATTGGATGTTCATCATAATAAAGATAATGATTTCTGTAGTCTTTGCAGAGATAATTAAGATGAAATATGAGAATGATGCAGAGTGAACATTGTATTCTTTATTTGCTGTGAATGTAGAATGAAAAATTAATTCTGTCCTTGTCTGCATGGTACGGGTACCGGGCAGGGATAAAGGGGAACATGTACAAGATGTTTTCTCTAAGACATCTGAATTTGCTTAGGGGAGAGATGGTCCTGCTGATTTTACTCCAGTACTCAGATGAAGAAGGCTGATATTGAGTGTAACCTCCTCCTGCTATTGGGAGCTGTCCTGAAGACAGATGTGACTAATGAGATTTTGTTCATTATGGTTCAGTGCACTGTGTTTGCCATCTTTTGCTTTCTAAACAATGTGTGTTCCCAGTTCCTTAAGGAGAAGAGGTAACTTCCACAGTGTAGAGTTGTAAACGCATGCAGTGTCAGAGGCATGCTTTGTGAGTTAACTGGTCGGAATACTCATTGCCATATTGACGTGCATCTGTTCTGAGAGTAAAATCAAGCCAACAGAACAAAGTTTTGTGAAATAGAAAGAGTTTTACACAAAAAAATCTTTCTCTTACATTTGTTCTAGTCTTCTGTATTGTCAAATGAGGTTTGGTAAATTAAATCCAAGATTGAGATGGTTGACACTGTTATTTTTTCTGAAAATGGAATGAACTTGAACTTTTAGCCTAAAGTCTTTGATGAACCCACACAGGACTCAAGAAAATCAAACGTCATTGATTATCAATTCAGAAGAGCAGTATGACTAAAGAGAGGCATTTTTTACCAGGGACTTGCTGGATACAAATTTATCATATGACCTTTTCCTTTCTAAACAATTACATCCTTGTGAGCATTTCTTGACTGTTTATGGTTATGGAACTAAACTTTGAACCATTTTGGGTGTGGATCAAACCCACTTCAGTTGCAGCTGAACCCAGAATTCAATTGAATGCACCTGCATGCTGCAGTTCCCAGGGTGCACAGCCAGGAGCTAGAAATGCCAGATGTCTGATCTCTCTGACTGAAAACACTTCAGATTACTGGCCACACTGCAGCAGTACCTGAATTCAGTAGACTGAGGCACCAAAGACAGTCTTTGTTCTGAAAAGTTTGCTTGTTAGCATCTGGCAATGTGCAATGAATAAATAATAAATGATTGAAGTGTGAACAACAAAAAGGGCAGCAGTAACCTGAGCAGACAGTTGGAGGTCCATGATGTGCACAATGTAAGATTTTTTGAGCAAGAATGAAGATAATTCTGCTAGAAATTAACATCAATATCTGCAGAACATGCATTTAGAGAAAATGCAGAACCATGCATTTGATTTGGTCAGTCTTTCTATGATAAGCCTTTCAATTAAAAAAGTTGCATGGGCACAAATATGGGCACAGATTGGGAATGAGTAGTGAAGTTATGAGGGCTTTAACTCCCATATGCATGTTTACCACAGATGTGGTAAACAATCCCATGTAGCCAGTGTAGACATGGTCCTTCCCACAGTGAACAGCTGGAGCCTCCTGGGCAGGGTGTGCTTTTTTCATAGAGGAGTCTGGACAACTACCTGGAACTTGGGGGTCATGCAAACCAGCCCTGGAAAGAGCAGAAGGGACAAGGCCTGATCTGACAGGGGTTGCTCCAGCTGGGGGCTTCCCATTGCAGTAGGATGAATAATATTTGGTGAATAGAGACCTATTATCCACTCCTACTTTTAGGGAGTGAGATATATGGGTATTGATGCTGTTCAGTAGTTCATAAAAATGTTTTACATGTGCCTGTAAACATGGAATGTATGAAAAACAATTGTGCAAATGGGAAGACAGACTTGTGAATTTGGCTAAAAGCACATTGTGTATACACTGGCAGACACAATCATAAGAAGGATACTGTACCTTTTACCTTCCTGAATGGAAAAAGATTTCCTTAAAGAGACAATTTCATTAGTGCTCCAATTTGTTTTAATAGTTACTGTATTTAAGCCATTTCAGTAGCACCCTACGGGTCTATGAGGCTATAATCTGGTTCCTGAAAGGAAGAACCTTTGAGGACAAATAAGACAGTGAAACAGGAGCACTATTCCTGGTGTGAAAAACTTCACATGAGGCTGTGCAAATAATTGACTTCTTGGTTTGCTCACTGAATTGGTGGGGACAGGGGAAAAGGTAGGCCAGCAGCAGTGAGAAAAAAACCCCCAATTTACTTGGATCAACACATAGTGAGAGAACAGGGGAATATAATTTCTTAGGTGAGTGTCCTCAAATGATGTTAAAAAATTAAAAACCCCTTCTTTTTAGGTATTCCACACTATAGAAAAGATTTGACTAGACACTGAGTTGAGGGCATGGCACGGGTGGTTAGGACATTCACCTTGGATGTGAGCCATTTGAGCAGCTGTCTCTCTGCTAATGGGCCTTCAGTTATTGAAAGCGCAAGGTAACAACTTCAGAAAAACAAATTCTTCTGAGCTTCAAACCACTGGTCAGAATGAATACACTACCTACTTCTGGATTTTGCAAAGCTGGCGTTGAAATGGTTTCTATGTTTGGAGAATGATATCTGTGTGGGGCTTTATGTAGTGAAATTGTTTTTTGCTGAAAAAATGTTTCCAGCGTATTTCCTGTTCATAGTAGTAAATACAATAGGGGAGAAAACTGTGAAGAAATATTTTTACCCCTGAATTTAGGGATTTCCTAGACTGTAGTCATACATTTAGAGGGAATGATAAATTCCCTCAAGAGGTTTATTTTTCAGAAAGTCCTTTGGTGCTTTGAACATTTTAATTCAGAGGTCTCATCTGGAAATACTCTGATTTGGCCATAGTAAGATGCCTGTCTTTAACCTTTGAAATAAGACTTCTATGAATTCCTGCATTAACCTGAACTTTCTTTTTCAGCTGCTAAACTCAAAGTTAAACTATCTTGAACTTTTATTTACAACTCAATTTTTACAGATGTTCAAAGAATCCTACATTTAATAAAGGTATTTTAGCTTTTCAAACACATTTTGAAGGGTTGCTCATTCTGCTTAAAGTAGAGTACAAAAGTATAAAACTGATAGCTAATTGAAAGATGTATATAATTAATTGCTTATGAAAAGGAAAAGCCTGCATAATGTTCTTGCCTAGAGATGGCTCCTCTCTCAGTCTGTTATTCCCATGCCATGTTCAAGTAAATCTTAAAGTAGTCATGCTGGAAATAAGTAATTATCCAAGCCAGTGGTGCACAGAGGGGTTCACAGGTAATGTTTACCTTCTCAGGGAAACTAAGTTTATCTTTATGCTCGTTCTCCTCTTCTTTTCCTTTCCCTCTATTCCACATAGCACACCTGTGCACATCTGTGCAAAGGATTGATCCTTTCTCAGGGAGTCTTTTTTGAACCCAGACATTAAAGGAATGGAAAAATGTCCCAAGAAAATTCCATGTTCATAGATTTGATTTTTTAGTGCAGTAGAGATCCAGAAAAGAAGATGTAATTTCAAAACCTCTACCCCTATCATCTTAGACTTTGTTTTCCTCAATTCTAGCAGGTTCAGATTTGATCTACACTGGAAAATTTTGAATTTCATGATGAGACACATGAGGGAGAAAGTCTTAAACCAATACCTTTTTACCCACCCACCCATGCGTGCACATGCATACACACACACACAAAATAGCCTCTTAATTTGCATAACTGCAATTTTGGGATTATGGCCTCGTCAATTCATATTGATGAACGAATTTTCTGCTATTCTGAGGCTATGTATATTGATCTTGAAATAACCTACAAATCTAAGAGTATTTATTTGGGACCCAAGAACGTGAGAAGTCTGGTTTGCAGATAACAACAAGTAATTTATCCTGCTAAGTGTCTTCTTAAAGGTAATCTATAATGTCACTGGAATGAAGAATTACATTATTTTGAAAAGATCCTTCTGAACTGCTATGATTCATTGGTCCTGCTTTTTTTGAGTTGTATGGCACAACACTCTGCAAGTCCTAGGACAGAGCTTACAAAAGGTTTCTTCCCAGCCTACACTTGACGTGCATCATACCACTTCACTAAATTCAGTATTACTTTCCATTTTCCAGAATAAGAGGTAGTTAAAAACAGATACTTGATTGAATTAGTTTGGTGTGTGAGGAGAAATGAGCACAGATTTTTGATCTTTGTGTGTTTGCTCTACATAAATGAGAAATCTTGTGTATTAAAGTAGTATTTGGGCAGAATCACATCACGGACAAATGTATACATAGGTTATTATTCACACATCTCCTTCACAGCAGGGTTACTAGCAGCCTTAAGGAGAAAGGCAGAAGAGGAAGTGACAATGCTTTCACAGAGCCGGCTGCAAAATAGATTGTAAGCAGGTAAGCAGGGAATTTTAAAGAGATTGAATGATACTGTGGAATGTGATGTGATATGGAAGATGTGATATGAAAACCTTAATGTGTGTCGGGATTTTCTCACAATAGTTACTGTAAAGACAGTTTCTCTTTTGGGAAAACTCACAACCCTGGAAGTATTTGTAACAGTATCAAGAACACTTTTTCTTAAGTAGTACTGTCTTGCAGCATAGATTCATCAGATCTTGTAAGACAGACAGGTTCAGGCTGTAAGATAGCCAGGTTCAGTATTTCACTGAGGAGACCCAGAAAGAACATTTATAGCTGAATGGATGTTAGAAATCTGTAGGTGGCATTTTTCTTCTGACACAGAACCAGCTGTGTGGTGGAAAAGTTATTGCACCTTAGCAAAGTATACAAGTGTTCTGGTTACAGGTAGTGTGCTTGATTTGTGGGGGGCTAATTGTACCATGCCAAAATTTGACTTCAGGAAATTCAGTTGCATCTATCCAGCTTTATTTGGCATTTTCAAAGCTCGTCTTTGCTCCCTTTTCTATGAAGCTTTCCAGCTTTCTGTTGTGTTTCTAAGGGCATCCTCCAGCAGTGGCTTTGCTGTGGCAAACAAAATAATCTTAAGGTTGCACATCATTATATATCTGGTATTGAGTTTGTGAATCTAACCTAGGCACTGTGTAGACACTGGTGGTGTAAACCTAGCTTTGAAACAACTGCTTAAATTTAAACGGTGAGTTAAAGGAAAATCTCCCAGAAGGTGACAAAAGTCTTGCATTTTTCTGATAATGTTCCTTAAAGGGCATTGCTCTCCTGTGGTTACAGGTACACACACATTGTATACACTGGTATATATATGCATATACAAATGCTAACACCAGGTGATTATGATATGATTATGAGAAACTTTGGAAACCTGTTTGATTCATGTAGAATCTCTTTCCACTGTTTGATTCATAAAGAATTAGCTAAGCTGTCTCATGAGGATGAATAACAAAATTCATGTTTTGGGAACCAGTGTTTCATTAACTAAGAAATGATTTTGAAAGACACTCAGTGAAGAGTCAATGACTGGAAAATGGAAATCCAGGTGGCAAAAACCATTCATGTGTGGAAGCTAGCTTCCTCTGCCTTCAGCTAAAGTTTTGGTGTTCAGACTTTGTTAAAAACTAGATTGCTTGCTCATAAGACGGAAGTTTTTCCCATTTCCCTCTCAGTGACACTTGAGTTTAGCACTCCCATCTAATTAGCTAATTACTTTTTTCATAATAATAAAATATGCATTGGCCAAAGGCAGGCTTTACTGGCAAAGAAGACAGGAAGAATGGGCTTGTTATTATAACTTCATATGAAAGCATTATAAAGAATACGTATAGTTTTATAACTTATTTATATGTTTATTTCCAAGCTAAAGTATTGAAACTAACTTTTACTTGGATTTGGACTGGGACAAAAATACTGATGCATTTTCTTTTTGAAAATCTTTGCATTCTCATGGTAAGCATTTTTCTCCTTTTCTATACTCTTACATTTTTTCTCAAAACCAGAAGGTGCTTTCTTCAGTTCTCAAATAAAAAGTTTGAGCATTCCTTTTAACAAAACATCACTCAGTACACTTAGTAGGACTTTCACTGTAATTTCCACTGTGACTCACTCTGTTCAGCTTTGCTGGACATAACCACCACAGTGACCCTGTGGCTGGAAATCATGTCCTAAGGCAGGGAGCTGGCTTTGATACCTCCAAGCTACTCTGGCCCAGTCATTGTTGTTTAGACAGTCCCCTATGTAATCAGGCTCCACCTTAACCTGGAAATTAGGACTGATGGAAGCACATCTACTCCCAAGTCTCCATGCCTATATGGGTGATGTCTGCTGGAGTTCAAATGTAATAAAGTCCTCAGTGCAGGGAGGATAGTGCTACTGGCTGCAAACTATTTAAACTGGAAATTCCTGTCCTTTTTAGGCTGTATCTTCTGTTTCACTGAGCAAACAGTAGAATTCACTCTGGTTCAGAAACCCAAAACATGATCTACGCCCATTTTGAAGTCATTGGAACTAACCGCAAGGTAATATTTTGGCATTCTTTAAGTGTCTTAAGAATCTGGCACTTTGACATAAATGATATTTCTGTGGTTAAGGAAATATTCAGAATACATTCCCAAAGCAACAAGGCAATTTCCAAGCTCAGTTTTGACAGAATATATCATATTCTATTCAGTTTTCATACACCTGTTAAATAGCATTCCCTTTAGATATTCAAATTACTTATATGGCCTTCATCGCTCTAGCATTTCATTAGTATAAGATATAACATGAATAACTTTAATGACTGACTTCTTGGCTAGAGAATTCATGGAAATTCCAGATAGGTGAGATTAATAGTTCTTATAGGCTGAGTGGCTCAAGTGACTCTAAACAGGAGGTAGAGCTGGCTGCTGATTCAAATTCATCCTGGGTGAGTGGTTTCCAAAGTTCTCCTTTGACAAAAGAGGAACAGAATTCTCTGCTGTGAAAGCAACAGTGATGAAAAGACAAAAAGTTACTGGGAGCTGGCATGAAGAAGATGAGCTATAGCAAAAGAGGCTACAGGGAGTTTCAGAATGAACTGAGAATTATGGTGTGTATGGTAGAATCACTGGTAACCCTTTCGGCTGGAGTAGCAAGGTGTTGTATAAGCCTCCTCTGAGACGTGCCAATAGGTCTGTGCCTGTAGGTGTAGCCAGAATGGATGTAGCAAGGGGCTGTGCAGGTCGATTTGAGCTGCACCAGCAGAGTGGTATGTGGGGAATTAATATAAAAACCTTCCCAACATGCTGCTGGCTTACTGCCAGCAATATTAAATCCTTGACTTTCTGCTCATGATATACACTCAGGATAAAATTTATGAACACATTGCTGAGAAAAGAGTCCCTGATCCCCACACAAGCTGCTCATTTCTTTTGGCATCTTAGTTTCTTTCAGTGCTTAATCCCTCCTCGCCTCCTTCCAGTGTTTATCTGCAGAGGCTTTTCAGCAGCTGAAAGAATGTGGTTTCTGATAGTTTAAATTAAGTAGCACATTTACATTTTGGTAACTTTAGTTTTGTTTGGGTTTTTTTCCTGATTTTTTTTTTTTTTTTTTTTGGGTACGGCTTTTTTCAGTGAGGTGTCATCATCTCTTGGATTTTAGATTATAAAATGCAAGGGATTTTTTACATGAATTGAGGAAGGATGAAATGTATGTTGACAAAACTGTACTGTGAAACTGGGGATTGTAGAGGTTTGTTTAACATTTATACTCACATTTTTTATGGCTTTTTGTATATTGGTTTCATATATATATATTTATATATATATATAAAATATATATATATATAGCCTTCATGCCTGTTATCATGCAAATTGTGACATTGTCAATTTCAAACCCCAGAAAATATATTTATGTTTTATAAAAATTTGAAATTGTCAAATTGTGCACAGTAAGTACACACCTACATAATGAAGTGTTTTACATGGACTTTTAAAGAACCTGGGAGAATTTTATTAACTCCAGTGCTGACTTCAGGATTACAAGGAATTTAAAAACAATATGCAGAAGCAAGCAACCCTATCTTCTCAAAAATCCCTGAGCTCAAAGGGAGACAGTAAGGGCTTAGCTGCAGCTACTGGATCTGGGACACCTCTCAGCTTCCACTGGGCACTCAGGAGCAGTGGATAGAGACTGCCGCACAGCTGGCCATGGGAATTTTTCACACACAGATAGACTCATAGGATCCAAGTGTGTTTTGCTTCCAAACTAGCTGTGAGGGAAGCCTGATGCATAGTGTGTATTGTGGGAAATGCAAAGAGGGATGGAGGAAAGATAGACAAAACTCTGTGTGTGTGTATAGGTGGACTCATAAGAGTTGACAGGTGGAAAATCAGCATTACAGCTGGCTACTCCCAGCTTTGATTACATGTGCAGGTGGAACAGAGTTGGCTTCAGAAGGATTTTATTTTTCTAATTTCACATGGACAATAACAGGAATTTGAGCTTGCTGATAACCATAACTTTCTAATAAAAACCTGCATACAGAAAAGACAATATTATTATGAGCTTGGTAAATCAACCAGCAGACCTTTAAGTTAGCTGAGTGTCCCAGAGATGTCATGAAGGTTCTTTATGGGTATCGGGTCCTTTTCCATAGATGAGAAGGTAGGACTGGAACCTAAACCATTTCTTTTGAAATATTCACCCTGTTCTGGTTGAGGCAAGCTGTGTAAGGAAGGCTTGCTCTGCTTCCATTCCAAAGTAGAAGTCTTTATCTTCACCCAGAACTGTCAGCCCTTATTATCCATGAATGTTATATGAGCTTAAAAAAGAACTTTTGAAGAATTTTTTAATTATTTATTTATTTACAGAAATGTGTATTTTCCATTCCATGAGAATGACTTTCAAATACCAAATCAAAGCATGAGAGCATGTTAGAGCATGTTTGAGCTGAAGTTCTGAGTATGCTTCAGACAGATGACAAAGTTTCTCATTTATATAGTTCCTTTCATCACATAAAATGAATTATTAGCAGAGTTGATATTGATTTATACAAAAAACGGGCTTTAAGCTTATTGTGATCATGCAAGACTGAGATGTTTCACTCATGACAAAAAGTTACAGGAAAATTTTAGCAGTGCTCAGCAACAGCCTAAAACAACATCTAGTTGTTAGGGCCAATTAAGTGAATGAAATAAGGAGCATCATTATACCATTCTAGAAACCCATGCTGCAGTTGTGTGGTGTGCAGCCCTATTCTGATCATCTCAAAAAGGATATAATAGAATTGGAAAAGATTCAGAAAACGGTCAGGAATTGTTTTCGCATGAGGAGTGACTGTGAGTCCTAGGACTCTTGAGCTGGGAAAAGGCATGACTTGAGTTCATGAGTGTCACAGAGATAATGAACACAGGCCAGTTGATTGCGGTGTCTTCCAAGAGATGATCTAAGAGTTGTCTAAGGACCTACAATCTGGCAGACTTTAAACTTTCCAATGAAGAGATTCTTAATGTGATGTAGGTGTAAACTTTGGAACTCATCTCTCAGAGTGCTGCAGATACTAAAACTTTATTCAGATGTGAGAAACAATCTTCCTTATTACTTCTACCTTTATCTACTCTGAAACTTTGGACATATTGTAAAAGACTAGGCATTGAACTGATAGCTCCCAGCTGGCTTGCTGGAGAGATTTGCCTGGAGCAGCAAGGACTCAGTAGTGAAAAAAAAGATCAAACTAAAAAACCAAAACAAACAAAAGCTCCGAAGCCTGTCAGACCACACTTCCCTTTGAAATGGACTGAAAGCAACCGAAGCGAATTGACTTGCCAGGGCAACTGGTATTGGTGCTGAGTTCAGGAATGCTACTCAGGCACGGTTGATCTCATATTTGTCAGTCAAGGAAGACAAGAACAGGACGAATTCTTTGTAGCTATTGTTTCAGACACCACTCCTTAGGCAATGAGAGCGTTTCTGCTGAGACTACTGGCACTAGATCAGGCCCTTGGTAAGAAAAAACCAACATTTTATTTTGTGAATTTTTACAGCTGTGGAATGAATAACTTCTGCTGTCTTGAGTAAGCTGGGGCTGACTAATGTCCACAGCCACAAGGTAGGAAGGTTTTGTAATCTATAGTCTCTCTCAGAAGATACAATTCCATCCACCATACTAAATCACAGGAAACTTTGCCTCTTGTTGAAAGTCTGAGATTAAGGCAATGACTGTTTCCCTTTCTTAACCCTGTTTCTTGTTCTTTGTGCATCTGTCTTTAAACAAACAAACAAATAAAAATGAAGCAAAATAATAAAAAACCCTTTCTAGGACAATCTTCTCCAAACCAATACTGTAATTCAGAGGTGTCTTTTTCTAGGATATTAAATGCAGTGAAACTTTACACAGAAAAACTTTATGCAAGAAATCTGTGTCTAATGGTTGTTGCTATTAGCCCATTTTTAAGGCACGACTGAAGAGACTGGAATTTTACTGTTCAATAAACAGGACCACTGTTTTTAGCAGTTGTATAAAAGCGTCATTAGTTGCACAAAGCAGTAGAGTGCTAAGAGCTGATCCCAACCAATGGAGGGTGGCAGCAAGGAGCCCTGCCCTTTCTCTGCTCTTGTAGCCTCAGTTAGCTTCAGCTGAGGGTTTTTCCCCTGAATTCCTGCCATCTTTCTTCAGGCATGAAGAGCTGTGTATTGCTTACCTTCTGTGGTGCACTTACAATCAGGGCTAAATTAGGCTTTCCACAGCAAATAAAATTAAATTGTTTCTCTCTGAAGAGCAAAACCAATGTATTTTCTTGAGTTATCATTTTTGTTACCTTAAAGTCTGCTTTCTGCCTTGTTTTCTTTCAGTTGTGCACAGCAAACTGCTATGTTAGTCTGCAGCAGCATTTGGCCTTGACCACAACTGTAACCCCTTTCCTTGAATTTTCACAGCCCATGATTACCGGTGCAACTCTTGTCACAAGAGAAAAACTAGTCCAGTTTATTGTCAGTATTTTAACCATAACATTTCC